GTAGTTTTTTAGTAGAGACGGGGTTTCACCATGTTGACCAGGATGGTCTCGATCTCTTGACCTCGTGATCCACCCGCCTCGGCCTCCCAAAGTGCTGGGATTACAAGCGTGAGCCACCACGCCCGGCTAATTTTTTTTTTTAAACGGAGTCTTGCTCTGTCACCCAGGCTGGTGTGCAATGGTGCGATCTTGACTCACTGCAACCTCCGCCTCTTGGGTTCAAGCAATTCTCCTGCCTCAACCTCCTGAGTGGCTGGGATTACAGGTATACACCACCACCACGCTGGCTAACTTTTGTATTTTTAGTAGAGGCGGGGTTTCACCATGTTGGTCAGGCTGGTCTGGAACTCCTGACCTCGTGATCCACCCCCCTCAGCCTCCCGAAATGCTGGGATTATAGGCGTGAGCCACCTCGCCAGGCCAAATCACTTAATTTTGTATACATTGACATATAATGATTACATAACTTTTAATTGTTATTTGTTTCATTCAAATATATAATCTGTACTTTATACCGGTCTACGTTGTTTGAATGTTACAAAGAAATTGTATCACTTATATTAAAAAGTGAGAGAGAAAATGATTACAAAATGTAAACATTTCAAAAATTAAAATAGCTGACCAGGGTCAGAATTAGAATGAAGTGAAAGGTACTTGCATTGGGTGCAAAATTTAATAGGATGCCAAAAAAACTAAGTAATCAAATGTTTTAATGCAATATTTTAGAATATCACATTAGAAAACTGCAATTTTCCAATGTGATATTCTAGCCACCTGCTTTTATAAGGCTTTACTGGAGCCAAAGTCAGAATTCAGGCAAGGCAGTGAGGTGGGGCTCAGCAAGTCCAAGGGCAGATCCTACCTTTCCCATCTTTTTTAAAAAATGTAATATTTTGTTCACCATAAATTATTTTGGATTAGTTTTGATTTTTGGCAATATTGGGCCAGACATGGTGGCTCACGCCTATAATCTCAGCACTTTGGGAGGCCAAGCAGGAGGATCACTTGAGCACAGGAGCTCAAGACCAGCCTAGGCAACATAGTGACACTTTGTCTCTATAAAAAAAATAAAAAATATTAGCCAGGCACTTTGGGAGGCTGGGGCAGGAGGATCACTTACACCCAGGAGTTTGAGACCAGCCTGGGCAACATAGTGAGACCTTGTCTCTACAAAAAAATTAAAAATTAGCCAGTTGTGGTAGTGCACACCTGTAGTCTCAGCTATTTGGGAGGCTGAGGCAGGAGGATCTCTTGAGCCCAGGAAGTCAAGACTGCAGTAAGCTGTGATTATGCCACTGTGCTCAACCTGGGTGACAGAGTGAGACTCTGTCTCAAAAAAAAAAAAGAAAACATTGCATTAAAAATTTAGCTATTAAAAAGAGCTGTAGTGGAATAGAAACAAACAAAAACAATTATCTTGATTGCTGAGATTTTTGACACTCTTTTTTTTTTTTTGAGACGGTTTTTTTCTTTGTCACTGAGTTGAGTTTTCGCTCTGTCACTGGGCTGCAATGCAATGGCGTGATCTCGGCTGATCTTGGCTCACTGCAACCTCTGCCTCCCAGGTTCAAGCAATTCTCCTGTCTCAGCCTTCTGAGTAGCTGAGATTACAGGCACATGCCACCATGCCTGGCTAAGTTTTTGTATTTTTTTAGTAGAGACGGGGTTTCACCATGTTCCCCAGGCTGGTTTTGAACTCCTGAGCTCAGACAATCCACCCACCTTGGTCTCCCAAAGTGCTAGGATTACAGGTATGAGCCACTGCACCCGGCCGACACATTATTAAATTTTGCACCCAAACTAAGTTGCCTCATCCCTGACCCAGCCCTGTAATTGAGTCTTGAAGGTAGTATTTTTTTTTGTTT